AAAGAGGAGGTATGCAAACTTTGCGCTATCTGGTTTTATCTTGCCTTTGAAGGATTCTAACTTGAGCTTCGGAGCCTTTATACCGGGTTCCCCCCGGAATTTTCTCACCTCCCCTGTTTCAGGTTCCTTGCTACTCAGTTCAGAGACAAAATCGTTGACAGCTAAGACCGGCCGGATTGTGCATCATTAGAAACCAAATCAATATGAGATTCTTTATCTTAATTAAAACTTTAAAAATTTAGGTACACGAAGGATGGCTATTGGCTATTGGCTAAGCCGAAGCGCTACCCGCTAAGAATAGGCAGCAAGGGGGAAGGGCTAACCGAATCCCAATTCATTCTTCTGTGGACTGTCGAGAGTCGAGACATACAAAATAGAGGACCCCACTTCCTTCTCCTCCACCGTCCATCTCTCGGTTCTCCTCCTCCCCTGGGAAAATATATTATTCTGAAAAAGGCCATTAATTAAATTAATAATAAATGAAATGAAAGAATCTTCTCTCTGAAATCTCCGAAAAGGCGTTATAATCATGTAAACTCCAAGATTGATAAACAATGAACATTATTCATTAGCTGGGCTGAAAGCGTATTCTCTAGATCTTTCCACAACCTTCCTATTTCCTGTGGGCGTTTCTCTTTCTCTTCGTCTTTATATTTTTACCTTTCCGTCTTTCACCCCCTCTCTCTCTTTTCCTTGATAAATCTCTAATCATCGTCTTCGTCATCTCTCTCGTTGCCTCTTTCTTCAACTGATTTCTCATTTTTTTCCTCTATCATCCATGGCGTCCCAACCAGAAATGTCCGAGGCATCGTTTCTGGATCAACTAATCAGTAGTAGAAATAGAGATCTCTCTCTCTTTCTTCCTCTTATACTGGGTTTCACGAGCTCGCCGAGGAGAGAATCCGATGACCCTGATCGGGAAAGTGAAGGACGGAGCCACGAGCGGATCATCCTCATCAACCCCTTCACGCAAGGCATGATCGTCATTGAAGGGGCTGGAAGCTTGGAGGCGCTGCTTCGAGATGCAATCAGTAAGAATGGGCCGCCACCGGCGTCCAAGGCTTCCATCGAAGCGATGCCCAAAGTGGAAATTAGTGAGGAAGAGGGAGATGGAGAGTGTGCGATTTGCTTGGAGGGGTGGGAAATTGGTGGGGAAGCCAGGGAGATGCCTTGTAAGCACAGGTATCACTCCAGCTGCATAGAGACATGGTTGGGGCTTCATGGGTCTTGCCCTATTTGCAGGTTCAAGATGCCTGTTGATGAAGAAGAGTGTAGGAAGAGAAGTGCTGATGAAGAAGGGAGAGGAAGGAGGATTGAGAGGGAGATTTGGGTCAGTTTATCTTTCAGTAACAACAGCAACAGTAGCAGCGACACCACCACCAACAACGACAACGACGACGACGACAACGACGGCAATAGCACAAACAATTCCGTAACTTCATCAACTGATTCTTCTGTTTCCTCTTCAAATCCAAGTTCTGATGATGCCCAAGAGAATTAAGAGGAATTTTACGGGAATTTTATTCTTTTTTCCTTTTAAATCTGAAAATTTTGTACATAGTTTACAGAGCATAGTACGAGGCTGTTTTATGCTTTTATTAGAAATAAATTGGATTTTTTTCTCCCCGAAATTTGAATTTCTGTGGTGCTATAAGCAGATTGTAAGGGGCTGGAAGCATATTAAGTTTTATTTTCATTTTTTGTGTTTTTTCATATTTTCTGTAATACATGCTATTATTGGGGAGATTCTGTAATATATGCTAGAGAGAGGAAACATGTGTCAAAAGAGCAAGAAGCATATTTATTTCATCTTCTTTTTTCCAAGCATATGTAAATACCGAAGGCTAAATAGTGGAATGAACTCTGATCAACTGATGAGGTTATGTGTTCTCATCCATATATAAAGAAGAAAAAGGAGAATTGATCAGGAAGGATATTAGCTTGTTTTCTATGGTGTCCTTGAATATATATATATATATATATATATATAAGAATCTGTGAATTACTTGGCATCTATTTCTCTTTCTCTGGCTTGCATCACTAGAGCTGCCAAGTCGAGCCATCAACGGTTCTCAAACCTGTACCTTGATTCTCAGGAGTCCTGTTTATCGCATTATGTTGACAAGTCACAACATGGTAAATATTGGTTTTGGGCTCTTCATCTTTCTCGACCAAAAGGAACATGTTGGTAAAGAACTAGACTGGTGCCGGAGTAAAGAATGGCTTAAGTTAGAACTCGATGGCATCCCGGCAAACATGTGTTAATTCTTGAGCCTGATCCGAGAAATTTTCCTTGCTTGCTTATGAAAAGCTGGTTCAGCATTCACCAAAAACATGCCCTCCCTCAGTTGCTTATCTGAGAAATACTCGAACTAATTAAGTACATAAACATCGTTATTCACTGGCCTATGTTAGGCTGAGAAAGAAGGAAGGGAAAAAGCACAGAGAAATCAAAAAACAGTTGCAGCTAAATCAAAAAAAAAAAAGACGGGGTCAAATACCTCTTTTTTTTGCTACTTGAGGTCGAATGCCACTTAACCTAAGGATTTGATGACTACCTAATGCTCTTGCATACAACACTACATCACCCTATGACCTGCCGTCACTCCTAATAAATTATACGCCCCGATCTCTGCATTTGGTTTAATGGTTCCATCACCTACATTATTTGGAGTTGGGGATGAGTTTCCATCATCAATTACAATAGGAGTTGATGTCATTATCATGACCCAACTTTGCAACTTTCTAAGCTACTAGAGTCTTTTATTTTTTGAGAGAAATAACAAGATGTTATATTAACGAAGAGACGTGCAACACAAGGAGATTATACAAGCAAAAAGACCAGCAAGCCCATAAAAAATACTGGGCATAACATCTTTTCTATGCAACTCTTCCCTATATAGACCAGGTTTTGCCGAAGCTATAACCATTGAAGGGTAGAATTCCTACGTCAACAAGGCCGCCATCTTTCACGACAGAGGACAGACTGTCTTGAGATCAACTCTGGTTTAAAAATCACCTTGGATTTCACCCATTCACGGGCATCTTACTATTTTCCCATCCCAACCTACTTTTTTTTTTTTTCTTTTGATAAATAAAACAGGTAGAAAAAAGCTACCTACTCTTTTAATACAATAGTCACAAGCTCTACCATGAAATCCACCATTGATAGCCGTGGATCATCTTAACACTCTTCCTCTATGATTCATTACTCCCTCTTTAGATATCAAGCTTTGTGCAACTGACGAGAATTCATCAATCTGGATCAATGAAAACCCATAATTCCTTTATGAGTGGGAAGCAACTTAAGAGAAGAAATTAACAGTATATGATTCAAAACCTTCCGACAAGCAATCCCTTGGTTATATCTGAAAGTTGCGGGTCATTAGTAAAGTTTTCAGAGGTTTTAGATAATTTTCCACCTCAAATCTAAACGAGCGTATCCGTTGAAAAAAGAGAGTATTTTAGCATTGCCACGTGTTTTGACCAGGATATATGCACACAAACTGATCTGAATTTTTCATATTCATGGATATAGCAGGGCTGCATGATTCCAATTACATATTTTATAAGACAAAAGTTGGTCTTTTGCTTAGTCTTTATTTTTTAGCTTTTTTTTTTTCACTTAAACTGACCTAGCCTGTTCCATATGATATTTGGAGTTCAATTTTCAAACCCATCAATGGATATGCATCTTGAAACAACACTTCAGGAGCCAAAATTCTTGGAGGACTCGTAGCCTAATTCCTCTCCCCTGCTGTTCAAGTCTAGCTCTTCGAAGCCCAATTCATTTCCCTCTGATATTGATTGTTAAGTTCAAGCTCGTCCGTTGATCCTGACTTTCTAAACTGGTTATCAGAATCCTTCTTAGCTGATTGCTGATCAACAGAGTTGCCATCAGAGATGGTCCCACTTCGCTTCCGTCCACCGATTCGATCATTTGAGTTGCCCCTGTTTGGGTTGATCTCCATAAATGGATGCATGTCTGAATGTTTTTTACATTCATCGGGGTATCCATCCTCCTGCTTCTGTGGTTTTTCCTCACAGCTCTCAGAAATTGTTAACAAACTGGTCATTGAACAATCCACACCACTCACTGGTTGCTTCTCTGCCTCTAGTAAGCTGAAACCTCCTCTTTCAGTTAGTCCTGAGAATGAAGAACTTGGGCGTTGTCTCTCTACCATGGAGACCAGATGAGAGAGTTCAGCTTTTGCAGCTTCGAGTCCCCACGCATGAAGAATTGCACCCGGCCAATGTTTCCTGTGCTTTCTCTAGAACTGACTGTAGGTATTTCCCTTGAGCTTCAATCCGTAGCTGCAAGTGTCTCTGCACCTAGAGGAGAACACTAGTTGCTGATGTGTATCCATTATTCTCTGCCAAGAATAACTGGCTTCAAAATAAAGCTAGGCTGATGAAAAGCCTACCTCAATCTGTTCAAGAAGCTTCTTATGCACTTCCATTTGCATCTGTAGAGCCTGAGCAATCTGCAAGTTGCTGAGATACATGTACCCATATCAGCTTAATTCTTTCTAATTAAATTTCCTATCAAACTATTCAAACAGAGGAACAAAATTTCTTACTCGTTCATGTGTGTGGGGATTCTACCAATCATTTCTCCACTGACATTACCACCTCTAACTTCTGTGCCTACATAATCTCCCTCCACAATATCTGCTACAGAATCCATAACATTCAAATGATAGAACTCACGGAAATCAGTTTCACCTTCTTTCTTGCTGTTACTGTAGTATTCCAACTGGTGGTTCTTCCCAAGTATGGTTTTTATAAACGAACCGGTGACCGAACCGGTCAGGGGTCCGGTTACCGGTTCAGATGGTCTGATCGTTCGACCCGAATGGCCGGCCCATTCTGACAAAAAAATTAAAAAAAATGGAAAACGGTCAAAACCGTTCGAACGGTTAACCGGCCAGTTCAGTGGTTTGCTGACCAAAATCAACGGTTTTGAGGGAAAAAAGCAGTTTTGGAGGAAAACAGAACCGGTGAGGTGACTGGTTCCCGGTTTTTCCGGCCCGACCGTCCGGTCCGATCCGGTTCTGAAAACAGTGTTCCCAAGCCTATATTTCTGCATTAAAGAACACCAATGTACTTCCAATAATTAATTATATGTTTGTACAATGTCTAAAATTTTAATGACTGGTAGAATCAGAAAAAGGGAATACCTGTAAATGGCTCTTTAGGTGGTACAAAGTAAGGCCAGGGATACCCATCACCCTCAACAGAGCTTTTGGGGTTGCCTCTGCCAAGATGAAAACAAGAACGATATTCAACATAAGTTCAGAAGATTGTGAAAAAAAAAAAGTTTAACACAAAATCATATACGTACTGTCTGCCCTTCCCAGCTTAGCTACTGCTTCAATGAATCGTTGATGAAGTTCTCGAGTCCATTTTAGTCTAGGTTTTGCATATGTAGAAAGGACCAAGCTCATATGTTGGTTTTGCATTTTCTGAGTACCCATTTTAGATGGTGTGGATCAGAACCATTTTGAAGACAGAGACGTAAGCAAAAGTTTTGATTGTTAACACTTTGCCTCAAGGTGTGCCAGCCACATTTCTCTTTATAAATTGGGGTTGTCTTGTCCCTTGTTATCACTCCATATATGGAAACAGGAGTGGGACCGGAGAATATATGCAGTTAGCTGTTTCTTTTCTTTCTCCTATCTCTTATTCTGTATTTCTGTATCATAACCCCCCCTCCTTTTCAAAATTTCTTTGCTCTTAAGGGGAAGAGAGAATCTTTGATGCAGCAGAAGCTAAGAAATCGACAAGTTTCCATTGAGTTTTAAAAGCATAGTAAAGAAGAAAAGTTCGTGTATTGTTCTCTTTTTGCTGTTTTCCCACTTATTTCTTTACTTTCTTCGATTCTCTGATTCATTTCGTTGGTAGCCCCACCATGATGAATAATGGGTTCAACTTTTCTTACACTAAGAAATTAATGAGAATGCTTTATTTGATTTTTTTCCTATAACTCTCTGAGATACGTTTTCTTTTCTTCCTCCGAGGGCAGATGTGGAGTGGGTGGAGAGTGATCATTTTGTAGGGGCTAGGGAAGGAATCCAAGAATCTAGTATAAGACCTTAAAATTTATCCGACCAAATTTAATGAATGAATAATAAAAACACTTCAAAAATAGTGGATGAAGTCAGTTCATCTCATGAATATTATGAATAAACTACTTGGTGCCTCTTGTAATTAGTCTTTGTGCTTCTTTCTATTTCCATGGGAAATTATGGAGAAAAACAAAGTGACATTATGTACAGTTATCTAACTGGTCACTACAAGGGGGGGAACATGAGCTCAGGTTTTGTATGAAGTTCAAAACCTGCGACAAGGCAAATAAGAATATGCTCCGAAGAGATTTTTGGTTTTGGTCTGTAATCCTTACAAAGTGAAAGGCAATAGATATTAGAAAAGAGATTCTTGGATCATATCTTTTTTATTTTTGGTGATCATATTTCTTGGGTTGCGTTTCTGAGTTTGATGGACACAACCAGACCTCAATGATTAGTCTCCATAGTGCTACCATCTGAGTGCCATGGCATTCAGTTGTTCTGTTTCATCGAGAAACAATTTTCAATGATTCAAATGTGAGAAAGATGAGATTCTTTTCATTTATTTATTTATTTCCTTTTGATAGATGAGAAAGATGAGATTGCAAGTAGTATTAAAAATTTGAAAACAAGCACCAACAAAAGCAAGGAGTACCCAACAACCCAACCATCGGGGAGCCAGCCAGAGGATTCATATCGGCATCAACATGCTTGTTGCTAGTGGTTATTTTGGCAATTTTCGAATATGCTCCCATCATATTCATAACGAGATTCAAACATTATCGGCCATTCACTGTGTTAGCCTTCATCATCCACAAACCTTTATTTATTTATTTTTTTCTGAAATTCATCATACATGAACTAACAGCTCAAATAATGCTGGTAGGTGGGTCGTAAGTTCGTGGACTTACCTTGGACTGGTTCTACAGTAAATCCTCTGGGCCATCAATTACTTCATCCCATTGGTTCGTTGTAATTTTGTTGCTGATGGTCATGAAAATGCAGATAGAAAACCTGCAGAACAGATTTACATGTGGAAAGATCAACTTAAGGTGGATGGGTGGATGATGGAATGGAGTACATTCTCATGCTGGATGTGCTCTTCTAAGTATCCTTCACACTTGATACATGTTCTAGCTGATCTCTGAGTCTGAAAGTGTGAAGATGTGAACGGAAGAATATGAAGTTACAGGATTTGAGAGATCCAGGTCAGTCATCTTACCGGTAGTAATTATCCAAATTAGTACAACGGAATCTGATCACTGAAAAGCAAGTAGTTCTCATGGCCCAAAGGTTTGAACTTAGAAGTAATTGGAGCACCTTTTCTCTTTAACCAGCTATTGTACTTGGAGCTGCGTTCTCACTTTAACATATGCCAGAACAAGTAAAGGGGATTCTAAGATGATACCAGACAAGAACTGGTACTTCGAGGTTAGTAGGAGAAGGCCCGGTGAATCAAAAGCAACATAAGCAATTCATTGAATAAAAAATCATTGACAAAGGCACCCGATCACCCCTTATCAATTAGTGATCTTCAAGACGCTCAACAACAGATAACTTGTAAATCCAAAAGCATGGAATGATGGAAAGAAGATGGAAGAATATGGCTACAGCAACCAGAAAAAAGAACAATAAAAGGAATGTGTCAGTGTCCCACCAAAAATTAATTCAACATTTACCATAACAATTTCAGAGATGGTACAGAGCCACCTGCCAGAAATGATGAAAGCAACATGTCCATACCTCTCATTAATTTTTTTTGTTCAGGAAAAACCTATAGAAATATTAACACCGATTAAATAAAAATAAAACTATATACTCATCCCATACCCTAGTAATATGCTTGATATTTTAGGACTCGGCCAATTGGTATGATGCATGACACTTATCATTTAAAATATGAGCCTATACATTGCAATATGGTGGAAATCACAAGTGAACTCTTAAGAAAATTATGGGAAACTTAGGAGAAAAAAAAAACAAGAATACCAGTTGTGTAAGCCATACATTATCATAACCGTGAAGTTGGTTTTGCTTTTTTGGCATATTTCCAGTCCAAGATGTCATAACAATTCAATAGTCCAGATTATCAAGCCTCTAGACCATATAGGAGTATAAATTTTTTATTTTACACACATACAGGTCCATCATGCACTCATTTCACATACCCACATGATTGCTAATGATACATTTGCATCATTAGCAATCTAGAGAGATAGAGAGAGAAGGGAAAAGGCAGAGTGATGGCATTTTGTACTTATCTCACTTATAACTAATGTAATAATATATTTTCTGCTGATAAAAAAAGAGTATATCAAAAATTTTGTGCCTCTTGGTTGACATGACCAATGTGTAGAACACATCCATGTACCAATGAAGCAAAACTTTGCATGAAACTTTGATGGTAAGCCAGGTGCCTTCATTACAATGCTTATGCAAGGGTTTTATACATAAAATGCAGTATCAGAATTATTTTGCCATATTGTTTGCACAAACTTTTTAATATTAGGGTTTATAAACCTTAATATCAACTAAAGAGTCATTACCCAACGATTCTCCCAGCTATCCAGGATCTTGGGATGGGGTAGACTGGATACAGACTTAACCTTTTAGTTTTTTTTTTTGGGCAGAAAATGGCCACTATAAAAGTTGGACCATGTCCTCTGTCAGCCCGAGATTTTACCATTGCATCAAGCAATGACCCATTTTTAACAATTTATATAATTGGCAACTATGCAGCTTACAAGGAAGCACTAATAAAGGTTCCATCTGTTTTCCTTTTCCCGAATGTTTTGATGAAAAGTGATCTTGAGTGGTGCAGAGTGGAGTCACTAGCATATCCCTTCTGTACTATTAATAACTCTTTATATTCATCTGTACACATAAGAGTTAATAATAAGGAACTTTTATTGGTGCTTCCTTGTAACTATTCAGGTGTCCATAGGGATATGGCCATAAAGAGTACTTAATTATATAAATAGTTAAAAATAAAGTAAAACTAAGAAATTAAGTGGACACCGTTCAGATGTTTTTTCCTCATGATATCTTGTTTGAGTTTAACAGTGGACATGGAAATGAACAGAGCAGAATGGCAGAACAGGATTAATGTAGCCAACACAATATAGTTGGGATAAGGCTTAGTTGAGTTGAGATGAATCAAGTGTATCTTGTTTGAGTACTAAGCGTGAAGGCCAGGGTTGAAAGTCTGGTACCCAATTTGAAAATTTTACACAGCATTGGGGCAGGCCCTCGAACTGAACCCACTCAAATTTTTACGGATCAGTTAACCCAAACCTGTCCAAGTTGCAACCCTAGTGATGGTTTTGTTCTGATTTCAGCTAGGAATATCCCAGGAAATGCTACAAGAAGTGTTGCATGTCCAAGTGTCCAAGACAGAACTTAGAACCTTTACTTTCAATTATGCCCTGTTAAGACTGCTCTTTAGTGCACCTGATGTTAAAGAGGTGCATTCAAGCAACGCACTCTAAGTGGAGCTGAGTAGCACTCCCCGACCACACAATGGATTTAATGGGATGTAGTCAGTAGAATTTTTTTGTTACCCTGGATGGTAGTAGAAGAGCAAGAAGAGGTGTAGAAGAGGAGCTGGAACCGTGATTCTCAGATAACTAAACATGCTTGATATACCTCAACTAATATCACACACCAATGAAACTGATATTATACTGCAACACAAAAAGTTCAAACTGCATTGCATGGAAACATCCAAAATATATACAAGCTACATTATTTAACAAATAATTTATAGGAGAATTCCTAGCTGACCCCATATAGTTGGGACAAGGCTTAGTTGAGTTGAGATTTAGTAAAGTTCCAATATGTTACAACTTAGAAGTTCTATTGAATTTGGAAAAAAAAAGCAACCATTAAGGAAAAAAACATGTTATCAGGCTATCAGCCTATAAAATAGAATTATTAGTCTGTATTCTTGTCCTTGATGTCATGAAACAAAAAAGACATCCCATTTCAGGTGAAAAGATACATTTTACCATGGACCATTGAGTAGGAGAGAGATTCTCCCACTTCGGCAAGAAATGATTGTGCAGCTACACTCAACCAGTTGCAAAAGGTCCTTTGTCTTGACTGTTTTAGGGAAGAAATTGTTAAGAATATGGATCTTGAATGCCTTAGTGCCAACAAACTTCAACTCAAGATGATAATTTGCTTGATTTTGTAATTCCTGAGAAATTATTTCTGATACTGGATCTCACTCAACTTCATCTAATTAATGAAGATATGATCTTGGGTCCTTAGTTCTATGGAACATTTGGAAGTGTCGAAATGACCATTACTTCAATCACAAGGTTTTCAGCCCAGCCACCGTCTTATTACAAGCTAATTCCTATTATACCACACTTTGTGCTGCTCCACAGCTTCCCATTACTCATTCTGCACACCAAGATAGTCACTATGGACACCAACAACAGTGGCGTAGACCACCTCGCGGTATGGTCAAACTAAATGTAGACAGGGCAGTTGGACTCTCAAATCTGGTGCTGGATTCCTCATTAGAGACCATATGGGCGCTTTAGTATTTGCCAGATCAATTCCCTTGGACAATTTATCTCCTCTAGAGGCTGAAGCTACAGCAATGTATTAAGGTCTGAAATTCCTGGTTGAACGGCAATTTCACTTATTATGGAAGGCAACTCCCAAAATATTTGCCAACTTCTGTTGGATGGGTCACTTTCCCTCCTTGGCGTATCCATACGCTTGCCATTGATTGCAGAAGTATCATCTCTAGCCTTCCATCTCACAAAATATGCCATGTTAGAAGGGAGTCTAATGAGGCTGCCTATTTATTAGCCAAATATGCCATGTTAGAAGTGACTTGATTTGATTTGTGAAAGCCATTGATTGATCCAAAGAAAATGATAAATAACATGGAATAAATCCATCAGAACAATAAAAAACCTCGAAGTTCCCACATATTAGGTCTTAATAATCAGAAACTCTAGTTGCCCAAATTTTAAGCCTCTTATTTCTCTTGTATAACATCCCACACAAACTCTATTTTAAAAGCACAAACATCTGAAAGATCTGCTGGGATTGCATCAAACGTATAACATGAAGTACAGATTTCTAGAGTGTTCAACTTCTTGGTATATGTTCTAGAACAGATTGTAGTGAAGCAAGGTGCAAACAGGAGTTTTACAGCTTAACTTATTAAAGTGCACTGAAATCAAGCATTTTGTGAGCCTCCATAAAAGCACAATCATTGAGAAATCTTTAGCAAAACAGAGAAAAGGGAGAATTAGTGGAAAAACAGTACCAACTCTATGTAAAAGGAGTAAAACTTGGTGTATATATATATATATATATATATAAAATTTTTGGTACAATGGTTTATATATTGTTAAGTCTTACTTTTTTAGCTGTCTTTAAGATATTCTCGTTAATTCTTTGTTTAATTTACTCTTTCTCTTTGTGTTGCAGTCACATAGATTAAAAATATAATAAACAAGAAATCAAAATTAAATTAATACAGATTTGAAATCATTTCAGATTTGGTGAACTCGGTTAGAAATCATAAAGTAAGAAGATTCAAAAATTCTATAATTGCAAGAATTAAGACAAATTGCGACCATGAAATTTTCTATAAAACTTCAACTAGGAACAATAATTCTGAAAAGCTAAAGAAATAAAGAAGAAACGATGTTTATACAACCTTTAATAGACAAGCCCCGTATGGTTATTGCCATCCACTTATTTAAGCACCATCTTAGATCAGAGGAGGTTGAGCTTACAAGCAATATTCTTGTTAAGGTTGAAGCTTTAATATATCGATTCCTGCCTACCCATCACCAGTCATATTCGCCTATTTCTTGATCTTTCGAAGCTTCTTCGGCCCCAGAACTTCCATTCTACCAACAGAACATCCGCATCGTGCCCGGAAAACGAGAACCGCTCGCCCATTAGGAGGCGCCATCTTCCTTAGCTCGGATTCCAATTCTCTGTGGTGATCTTGAGCCAACTCGAAAAGCCCTTTACTACTTCTACTACTACTACTACTACTGCGATCTTTCACTAAAGAAGAAGTAGAATTCTTCACACACTCCTCGGTCTCAATCTGGATATCGAATTCTGCCGCCTTGCGAAGGCCACGACAATTTGGGTTACAACATTTCTTACCTGCGCATCTGGAAATGCCCCAAGCACCTAATATTGCAAAAAATATGCCGAGTCCAAGAGATGCATAAACCATCGGAGCACGACACACCTCGTATTTCACCACAGATAGTGTTGCCCCCATAATTTCAACAATTCCATGGCAGAATAGCTGGAGATAAGGAAACACCAAAAACCCAGAGGCGCCAATAACTGCAATCAAGATCACCACATCCACCGCGGCTGTCCGAGACCGATCGCAAGGTTGATGATTCTTCAGGGGATTGGAAGCATTGATTTGCTTTCTGTTCCTATGGAATTGATGCCTGTTGTTACTAGACGGGTCGGTCGAAGAGAAAGGAATCGCCATATCTGTAGGATGATCAAAGGACTTGCAGAAAGAAATCGAGCTACAGAAATAGACCATTTGGAGATAACCCAGACAATAGAACCGGCCAGTAATTAAAATCCACCAGCTTAAAACCCCTCAAACAGAACAGTCTAAATAACCCAAAGACGAAATCCAATAGAGAGAATACGAAAGGAAGGATTTTGAATTGATCTGGAGGTTGGATATGGATGAAAATTAGAGGCTTCGGTTGCTTTTTTGAGCACGGAATCGATTGTGCGCTCGAATTAGGTGTGCATCTAATGTTTGTATAAGAACTGAAAGGACGTAGGCTGCAATCTTCTTCTTCTCCTCCTCCTAGGAATTGTCAGGAATTTGTACATATAGATTCTAGAATGTGGAATGGAAAGGGCATCGGCAGAAATTTACTCAGGAATTCCAAGGAATCTGGGCTTCTGTAGGTGCTGGCTTGAAAGCAAACCCCCAGCCTATCGACCCAAACGGGACAATAGAATCGCAACTGTTCATCTCAGCTCTTAACTCCTAAGCTCTATATTTTTGTTTAATTTTATGTGAATTAACACGATTGTTTCTTTTGAGATTGGAAATTTAAAGAGACAACTATAAGCAAAAACTGAAATCAAAGGTCAAGGTTTGAGCGCAATCACCATATTTCATGGATGAACTCAGGCTTGCTTGTATTATTGTTATTATTATTATTATTATTTTGTAAAACAATTTGCTTGTAATGAGGAATGATAAGAATCAATCAAAGACATTAAAAAAAAAAAAAATGGACCTACTGTTTTATATATTGGAAATGGGAATAATTTTCACCAAAAGAAAAGAAATGGGAATAATATATGGATAAGGCACTGAACACCTGGCAATATCCAGTGATTCCTCCATCTGATGGACGGTCTGGATCGGTCAAAAGTAGGTTAAGTGGTGTAGGGGATCCCTTACTTATCAATTTGAAATACCAATTAGTATTTCCTTTGACTAAGGGTGGGAACTAATTAGCAGAAAATATATACTTTTGTCAAAAAATAAATGGATGGGCCCCAGTCATTCTCCTAAAAAAATATAAAAAGTATTATAATAACGTCAGGTTAGGAATATATTTAACATCAAACAACCCACCTTAAATATGCTTTCAATCTTATCTAAGACCAATCCATTGCTTTCTACTCTAACTAATATGGGTCGAAAATAATAATAATAATAAGTAGGGGATCCTACATGAATAGATGATGATCAAAGCGTGGGAGAAAGGGCATTCTATTTTTTTCGTGGGGGATATATAATTTAGGTGTTTGGCATGGCTTCCCCTAAAACCTGTCAAGTAAATTATCTGAATCTTTCCTTCGTGATTCTAATTACAATAATAACTGAGATTGAAATGGTCGAAAATCAGTAAAATTCTTTTCTCTAACATACAATGACCAGACTTGATTTAGAAACATTATATGGGGTCCGTTATATGAATCTTGTTTTGTCATTATATTCTGTTCAGTGTTAATATTTATTATTAAATTATGAATAATTTCTTATTATTTTATTCAAGTATTTTTCGTCTTTTGTGTACATGACCAAACTACTTTAATGGCTACTTTCTCTCATTTTTTACCTATTGGAGCCACTGCTGAGTTTCTTATAATGACTTTCATTTCTAACCTTGTCCTTCCAAGTTTTATCACTCATTCATCTGAGCGTTTATAATTAGTTATATAGTAAAATATTTTTTTTTTTTGAGAAGCATCTATATGTATACAAGTTATTAGGCCAAAAAGTAAAAAATACAAGAGTATTTTTTGAATCTTGTTTATGTTGCACACATCTTTTTTCTAGACATGCTATATCTTAAATTTCAAACATTATGCTCAATACAACATAGCCCGCCTTACAACTGTTTTATATGATTTTCCTTTAAGCCAAAGTGGTATTCACTTATGACCTATCACATAAGTGCTAGGGTGTATTTCTCGGTTTTATTCATTATATTCTAATTTTCTAGGCAACATTCTCCTTAATCTCTCCTTTGTTATGAATTATTGAATCAGATAATGAAAGAATTTACATTATCTCTTGGTTCCCAATCCTAATTATACCTTAATTTTCACTCCTCTTATTATTAAATCTGCATGAACTTATTTTGTTTTAGTCTTATTTTAAAATCTTTTATTTTTTATGTAGTTCTCAAATTAAAATGTTTCTCTAAATTGGAAATCACTTTTTGATGTTTTTATAATTTATAATTAAGCAACGGATTGCCAATGACCCAGTAGTTCTATGGTCACTTGGCATCCCTCCCTTTGAGGAGGCACTTCACCCCCCCTACAAGAGACAAACCCTCATTACATGTACCTAAAAATACCAAACAACTGGTTTTGATCAAGTTTTCAAACACTCTCTTATTATTAACCGCTTTATGTGTTTTGGTTTTCACTTTCGTACTAATTGTGTGTTTATAAACATCATTTGCCTAATGATAATTCTATAATTAACCCCCTTATTAAATATTTCAAGTCAATTTTAGGAAATAGGCATAGGCAAAGGAATTTTCTTTTGATACATCAACAGAGAAAAAATATCCATACTAATTATCTCAATTTATTTAGTAGGAAATAGGCATAGGCATGAAAAGAAAAGAGCCCATTTTCATTAACAAAAAATATGGATAAATTATAAATTATCACCTTATATTTGGAGTAGTGACAAAGGGTTGTCTCAAGTTTGAATGTCAAAAAGCAAAAAAGTTAGAAAAAATTCTTGATCAGTATCCAGAATTTTAAGGGTTGTCTCAAGTCAGTCAAAAATTCCTGATCACTGCATTCAAACGCATCTTATATAGGGTGCTGTGGGTGCAACACTCGGCTTGGGCTTTTATTGAACTTTGAATGGGTGCGACCCAAAGGCCTGAGCCCAAAGTAGCCTAATATGCTAACTTGGGCCAACCCGATTTGCACCCTTCCGATCATGGAACATGGATCCTGATCCTTTTGACTGATGCTGCGTGGTAAGTGATGCGTCCTGTCCTTTTTGAGTGTTATGTGGCATGTGGTGAGTTACAATTTAGGAGGGTTTAGTGATCATGTGTCCTTAGAGATCGGCTTTTATCAGGGCAAATTTGTGCCCACACTGTTCTAACAGCCTTTTTTATCCTTACATTGGAAATATTTCCCCATAAAATAAAACACATAAATATGAAGGTATTCTCAATACAAGGTAGTATAGAGTGTTCGAACCTGCTTTTCCCTGACTGAAGCCGAACTCGCGTAGATTCTTATACAAATTTTGCACTTAGTTTTACATCTGTTGTTCTGCAATTTTGATTTGTATTTCTAAATATACAAAATTTGTATGTTTTTTTTTTTTTGTTTCATTTACATTCACAGGTACTGAAAATTTTGGATCCCAATAATTAATGCAAAACTTGTATCACCTTCACCACTTCATCCATGATCCAACCTCAACCCTCTCTCATAAAGCCCTCATATCTCTATTCTCTTACATAAAAGTGGGAATCACCTCATTTTACTTCTCAGAAATAAACAAACAAGATACTAAATTTTAACAAATGTTCAAAATTAACAGGGATCAACAATGAATCATTGATGCCAGAAAGTATGCCATGCAATTTGTCTCGGTAGAATGAGAAGGTCGCAATAATGCAGGTGTTGCGGTAATCAAGTATAACTCAGTAATTGGTTATATGCAATTGTAACCCATATAAAGAAGAGAGGGAGGTGTCAGATCAGTTTTCAGCAAGTCATTATAGTCGTACATTTGGAACATCTCCCCATGAATAACAAGAGAGATATTTCCAATGTTTGGCTACAATGGCCTATTGGAACAGTATTAAGAGCATTTTGTTATTCCTACTCATCATAGGTTGATGGTGATACACCACACCATGTGATGAAATATTTCATCTGTAGCCACCATGATGATGTCCTCCCTTCTTAGCTAGATTTAGGGATACATACAAGACACCTGGTCTGGTCTGAGGTCCCCACAACCATGATAAGTTGATAACTCCCCTAGAAGCCACATGATAAGTTTTTAAATCATTTTATACTATCTTTACCCATGTCTTTTTTCCACTATTCCCCTATTATCCATTTGTCTATTTCTATGTTTCTTTTATTATTATGTTATTTTTTTTTCTATTTTGTGCAGGGACTTTTGGTGTAAGGTTATTTCCCCGTTTGTTGATCTGTTTTGGGTAATAGATTTGGTTGCTGCTGATGGGCTTGCCGGCCACAATTGGGTTTAGTTATTGTTTCATCAATGGGCTAGTTAGCGGCAGTTTGGGCCATGTTCTTCTTTTTATATACCGGATTGTACAACTTTTACCACTCAGACTCAGTCACTCACATTTGTGCATTTATTCGGGAATTTCTCCTATTGCATTTTTACTTTTGATTTGAGTAGTCCCTTCATTCATTCTGGAGGATGGATGGGTTGGTTCTTCCATTGGTAATTTATCACCGTTATTGGTCGTACAAGCTTCATTTCCTTGTTTCTACCTTTGTATATTTTGTTGTTTTTGATATATATAGATTGTATCTATGCTTTTATGTTTGTTTGGCAGCATTGTCATCTGTTTGTGTCTACAAGTTACCCCAGAATCGTTATTTTGTAAAAAATCATTGATTTGGTCAGTAAATCATTGATTCGGGCGGTCGAACTATTTAACGGTTTTAGCCATTTTTTATTTTTTTGTTAGAACGGGCCATTCATTTGATTCAAACAGTCAGACCATTTGACCCAAGAACCGGTTCGTTGTCTGATTTGGTTTTAAAAACCTTGATATATATATATATATATATATATATATATATATATATATACTAACGGGGACCTAATCGATGCATGTGATTTGTTAAGTTAAAGATAAATAATAGAAACATGTAAGAGTATACAATTGTTTTATATAATAATTAATAATTATTTATATTTTATATACTACTTTTAATAATTTTTTGCAATACAAAAATAACAATAATTAATTTTAAATAGGGTTGTTTATTAAACTTAGGGATGGCAATTTCCCCATTTCCCCAATCCCCGTGGGGATCCGCCTCGAATAGGGTGGGCATGGGGATGATTTTCCCCCTGCAGAGACGGAGATGGGGAAATTTTCGTCCCCGTTGGCAGGGACGAGGAGAGCACTCCCTACCTCGTGGGGACCTTGACCCCTGTCCCATGGGATTATATATGTATACATACGTCTATATGTTAATATTTTTAAAAACATTGTTCAATATGTTTGAATCTTTTTTGATAGGATTGTAAATTTTAATTATTTTATTTTTATTTTTTAAATAAAATAAAAAAACGCAATGGTTGACATTATAAAGAATCATGGGGAGTGGGGATTCCCATGGAGATGGGGATGGGGAGAGGCTCCTCGTCCCCACCCCGCCCCATTGCCATGCATAATCAAACTATGAAACTGACCAACCCAATTTCTAGTATTTCCAATCGGCTTTGGTTCAACAATTTCCTAACCCGAATGGGTTGGATTAGTTTTTCTTTGGCCATTTGTAAACTAACTAAAATCGAATGACCCGACCTTAAATATATATTAATATTTTATATTTTAAATATATTTTTTAATTAGAAAATTGTGAAAATTCCAATATTTCCTATGCTAAAATATTTTATATCAT